CCAGAAAAAATATTTAGTGACAATGCAAAAAACTTTGTTAGTGCAAATACAGAAATTAAAAAATTAATGAGTATTTTTCTAAAGCAGAATGGAACTAATTTTCTAGCCGAGGAAGGTGTACAATGGAAGTTTATACCCCCGAGAGCACCAAATTTTAATGGTCTATCTGAAGCAGGAGTAAAATCTTTTAAATTTCATTTTAAACGAACAGTAGGAAATTCGCTATTAATTTACGAAGAATTTTTGACAGTAACAGTTCAAGTAGAGGGAATCTTAAATTCTCGCCCTCTTACACCGTTAACTTCTAATATTGATGATTTAAATGTTTTGACCCCTGGTCATTTCCTTATAGGTCGACCGATGAATTCAATAATTGAACCCAATTTAACAGAAGTAGATAATAACAGACTTAGTTTATGGCAAAAAACTACAGAAATGGTACAAAATATAAGGAAGAACTGGACTAATAATTACTTCAGCACTTTGATTCAAAGAAATAAATGGATGATTGCTAAACAAAATATTGAAATAGGGGATATGGTAGTGATCAAGGAAGAAAATCTTCCTACCTGTAAATGGTTGTTAGGGGGAATTGTAGATGTGTTTTATGGAAAGGACAACCTTGTGCGAGTTGTCCCTGTCAAAACCAAAAATGGTATTTATAAACGAGCACTTACTAAAATTGCTGTACTCCCTATTGAGAAATATTGTATGAAATTTTATGTTTATTTGAAGGTTTGAATTGTAATCCATCATATTTGTTCTTTTCACATTGTAATTACATGTATTATAATTTTTGCATTAATTTACATTGTATCATTTTGTATTGTATGAACATTTATTACTTTTTTTGAATTTTACTTATTGTATTGAAATTAATATTTCAACGCCGGGCGGGATGTTCGGTGTCTGAAAGAGTATTGCTTGGCAGCATTGTTTTACGCCAAGCAGAGTTTGGTTTTTAGCGTAATAGTGTAACCCTAAAGTTATTTCGTTTTTGCCTTGCTATTAGTATGTATGATTTCTGACTTGATGTAAGAGAGCATATGGTTGCTCGCTTTTAGCTAAGTTACATAGGTAACTATAAGCACATGCGTGTGCTAGTATTCAGTAATGTTGTTTTTGTTAAAATAAATTTGTTATTGTTAATATTACAGTCCACTTACTGAAGTTAAGTATTATTAAATAAGTTCGAGCTATCTTCGGCAAGAACAGTCGCAACAAATCACAATGGGAGGAGAGCGAGTCTCAATTCAAAAATAGTATAATACCTGTGATTAGTTTTTAAACGAATACGCGATAACAGTTGCTTTTTATTGAGTGCGTTAACATAATTTGCTTTACTAATACACTGACTACCAATAAGTATTTGGACACCTGTGATAGAAAAGAATAACTAACTTTATTCAAAATCAATAGTTGGTAGAGCCTCCACGAGAGGTAATTACAGCGTGGACCCTCCGGGGTACTTTCCTCAAGTCTTTGTATGACAGCTAGTGGTATTTTCTTCCACTCGTCTTGGAGAAGACATAGAAGTTCCTTCACCGATTTTGCACAGGTAGTGCATCCCTGAATTCGACGATGCAACTCGTCCCAGAGGTTCTCGATAGGGTTCAGGTCTGGACTCTGGGCAGGCCAGTCCATTCGATGAACTGCATTGGCACCATACCAAGCCTTGGTTAACGTCGAAACATGACAACTGGCATTGTCGTCCTGAAAGTAACAGGGGTCCAACCCGTAAAACTGCCACAACGTAGGAAGCACATTGTCATCCAAAATAGTGCAGTAGGCATCGGAGTTGAGTTTACCATGAATGGGGACCAAGGGTCCCAGCCTATACCAGGAGAAACACCCCCAGACCATAATTTCACCTCCGCCAAACTTGACTGTTGGCACAATGCATTCTGGCAGGAGGCGTTCTCCAGGTAGACGCCAGACCCAGATCCTGCCATCCGAACGGTAAAGGGTGAACCTTGATTCGTCACTCCAAAGAACCCGTTTCCACCGATCTACGGTCCAATTTCGATGTGCTTTGCACCACATTAACCGAACAGCGCGATTGGACTTTGTGATCAAAGGCTTATGGGCAGCAGCACGACCATGAAAACCAAGCAGATGTGCTTCCTTACAGATGGTATTCATTGAAACAATACTCTCGGATACCTGTTGAAACTCCTCGCGGATGAGGGCCATCAGTTGGGTGCCTTCCGAATTTCTCTGGGCAGCACTCGTCGGTCTCTATCTCCTAGTTTCGTTGGTCTGCCGACTCGGTGCACATTCCAACAATTACCACTCACCTTCCACTTCTTAATCACGTAGGCCACTGTCGATTTTAGGTACTTCAGATCGCTAGATCTGTCCCTTAAGGATCGGCCACATTTGTGATACCCGATAATTATACCTTTCTCGAAATCAGAGAGCTCCGAACTGTGAGGCATCTTGCATGTGACTAAAGTCGATGCTGTTTCCTACACGATATATACAAGCGGAGTCCGTGACGTACCTTAGGACCGCAGATATCGTCATTTGCATAGGTGTCCAAATACTTATTGTTAGTCAGTGTATATGGTAAATATGGTCTATGGTAACACTGTGTAGCATTCGTGTTACAAGTTCATCGCTTATTACAGAACTATATAAATCTGTTAATTTAAGTCGTCCTTTTTTTTTTTTTACAAAATATTTTGCATACTTTTTAACCAGATGAGCCTTTCGGTACTTCTAATTACTAAACTAATATGATCTTAAAAATGTGTATTTAATTATAAATTTCAACCAAGGTTCTTCTTTTACATAGTGGCCTGGGATCTGCAAAGTAAAACAACTCTTCGTTAGAGTCGCAGATATAAAAAGGTTGTGCATATTTGCTCTACTGCTTATACTTTCGGTAGAACTGCAAGTGTTTGAAGATCAAGAGTCTCCGGGGCTATAGTTGAGTTCCAGTAAATGTTTGCGATGTAACGTCTGTAAATTGTTAACGGATTCGACACATAACTTTATTGGTTAATTTTCCGTAAGAGAATATATTAATATCCGTAAGTAATATTTATTGTAGTAAAAATTATTAATACAATAATAATCCAGAGTAATTCTTATCTCTATTAGTTTATTTCTTTTGATTTGGTCTGCAACATTAATACAATCTATCTTAAGATACCCCTAATACCACTAGTAAGAATTTTCCAGTGGGAACTGTAAGATCTACAAGAATATTCTTTTAGCAGAATGACAAGTGCAAGTCATGCTAAGTAACAACATAACAATAATAAGCGAGGGTAAATTGCATTATATATTTTTTATTAATAAATACATGCATATATGGTAAACTTTTTCCTATGTGAAATATTTCTTTTTTATTTTTCTTTAATTATTATCATTATTAATTTACATTTAACTTGAAATGCGTTATATTCAAATATTACTATTTTTAGGGAAATGCCTCTTTTTTTTTTTTTTTTTTTTTTTTTTTTTTTTTTTATTTTTTTAGGTGTTTGCTTATGTGCCCACGTTCATATTTTGCCTAGTTGCGCTACAAAGAACCAAACTTATTCTCTAACAGGACTATATTAGAGAAATGACGTCAGTTTCTGTATGTGAGGTTTAGTATGCTATAAGCTAGGGAATCAGTCAGCAGATTACTTTTGGAAAAAGATGGCAGAAGAAAGGTAACGATTGTTGTCAGTTTTGTACGTTATGTTCAACATGTTATCAAGTATTTGTTAAAGTTGTAATTATTTTAAATTTGTTATAGGTAACTGACTGTTACAATGACTGTTACAATTAAATACATTAATCATTGTATAGTTACTTATGTATTTGTTTAGTACTTAAGGTCGAATTAAAAGCGGTCATTCTCCGGTAAAAAATTAACGACGCAAAGTTCATAACATAGACAAGAAGCATAGCAAAATTAAAGAAAACATAGACTTTATTAATGTTTTGTTATGAATTGCTGAAAATATTGTTTGCATTTTTAAAACTGTTCTCTTTTAGTTATTTAATTAATATTTTTATCTATATATTTGTTATTTTATTGCAATTTTTGCATGTTTCGTTTTATGTTTTTAATAATTCTATTAGTTTACTTTCACGAAACTCAGCAACTCTTAAGCATCTTTACATACTCTATATAAAACAGGCCCTAAACTTGGAAAGATTAACAGCGTTCGCTGAATGTGTTGTTATTTTAGTTGTTATTCGCATTTTGGTTTTGAATTCTTTGGTTTATTTTTAAAGAATGTAAACATGCGTTTACATTGTTCTCATATTGTTATGACAGGCACATATTCTAAGGATCATAAAACCTTTGAATTTTAGTTGAACGCTACAGATTTGTTACTGTGAACAAACTTGTTTTCACACTAACAAGAGTTGTAGAGATTAAGGTCTAAGACCTACGCATTCCCGGACAACATTGCGTGTATCTGATATAGGCCCAAATCCATCCTGCAGTTTTTTCCCTCAATTATTCTATATTTCTCTAATTTATCATAAAAGGTTGCTTGCTGTGAACAAAGCACCACAAAACATTTCGGAGTTCCATAATTTACACAATAAAAAGGAAATAAAAATCAAATAACAATTTTCAAGCTTCTTTTCTAAAGCCAGCCGGATTAAGTAAGTTAACATATCCGCTTATAAAACATTTCTTGTTCAAAAAGGAATCATGCATTGTAACAAGTTTATTAATGGCAATTTTCATTTAATAAATCAGTTTATTTTTGATTTAATTTAAATTAATTTCACATAGAAAGAGCATAAAGTGTGAACTCATTCGCAAGTGATCTGACGCCACGTTTCGCGGCTGTGTTTCCTAACAGTGAAATTTGGGTTATACTATTGTGATACTTGTGTCCCGAAATAATTGCAATCTAATGAAAATTTTCTGTTATTTTTCAATGTTCATATTTTAAATTAGAAAGGAATAAATATTTACAACAAGGAATTAATAAAAAGATTGCTTTTGTTATTCTTACAAGTTATTGAATAAGGTGATTTACCTGCAGACTGCAAGAAGTTCTAGTCGAGTAGTTACTAGGGCCATGTCGTTTCCTTGGGTAACTGAATGCAGTGACTCAAGGCAGCTATGCAGCTGATGCAACGTACACTCTTCTCCCAGAGTCACAACTATAGAGGAAACGAAGACTTATTAATCAGCAGAAAAATTCTTTTGCAAAGACCATATTCAAAGAACAAAATCAACTATTGATCGCTAATAGTATTTTTCCTAGAAATCACGCAAGACTAAAAAATAGCAAATATTTTTTTTTTGTGTGAAGCTTGCTAAAAATTTGGGGCTTATAAAGTTCGATTTGTGTGCTTTACAATTCAGTAGTATGAAGAATGCTTTCTATGCATATGATGACAATGAATTTAAAGAATTAACTATACGTTACATAAAATGCTACAAACGCTTACGACGATAAAACGATAAAGGCTTTAATGATTTAACTCCTAAACGATTAAACTTACACGCCTAAACTTACACGGTGCGCAAAATGCAGCCCATACAGAAAAATGGTTAGTGACCCTTAGTGCCGAACCCAAGGGCCCATGTTATAGTTCCAGAGAAGGCATGGGTGTAAATTGTATGTCCTTTCATAGGAGGCAACGGTGGCTCACCTGTTAGGTGCTTCCATAATAAAGTGACCACCAATTCCAGTCTTACTAGTGGGCAACGCCTGTAATAGGGAGAGAATTCAAGAACCTTTACCCAATAACCTGAGACCGAAGCTGCAATAGGTGCTGTCTCATGCAGTGACCTAAATCAATGACATAGCTTTCAGATAGCCAAATTAAACATAACAGACATTCATGTTATCATCCTGAGTATAAAATGATCAGCTTCTCAATTAGATCCCACACGTCAACTTCTTTATAATAAATGACAATTAGATTGAAACAATGAATTTACAATCAGAAAAGTGTTCAGTTTCATTTTAAAAGTTTGTGTAGTTCTCAAGAACGGCATCTCAGAATTCATACAATTCTTCACTGGATTATGGACCCTTTATGAGCTACCTTAATCGGTTTGGTTTCATGGAAAGTGATTTTTTCGTGTGTGGCGAGATTAGCGATCCCGACCACTGTGCATTTGATTGCTCACATATCTCCAACTACCATCTCCGGAACCCAACAGCTAGGAGCTGTCATGCATAGGCAGCTAACACCTACAAAAGCTGACTTGCAATACTCTGTATTAAGGCCTGTATTTTCCATGTTCTCACCATTACATGGAAATAAGATGGACCAGTTAACAACGCCCGCCATACTGTCATGTTTTGTAACTAGCAAACTGTATGTAGTTAACGGTGTATACTTTTCTTGCTAGATGTGCAATGTTTAATTATGTATACTGATTTCATTTCTACTTCTGTACATGTATCTACACCTTCGCCTTACTGTATTTGTATGCCCAACTTATGACATAATGCTGCAGCACTTTGTACTTTCTCTATTTTCCCCTGCCCTTCTTTTAATATTCTCCAAACATGCTGTGGAGGACATTGCACTAAGCTCTGTTTTTTCCCCTTCGCCTTCCTTTATTCCTTCCTTTTTAATTTTATTCCTTTGGACCCAACAGGCTGATTAGCACGTAACCCAGGAGACCAGCTGCTCTTTTGAATGTGAAAAGAAAAGAAGAAATTTATCAAAGAATTTATACTAGTCCTTATGTCTGACTAAGGAGAACCACCTATCATAATTGAGGCGATATTAAAAAGAGTTAAAAGATTTTAAACAATATTGTAAATGAAAGTTTATCATTTTTAACCCCATACAGAAATCAATAGCAGTTAATAAATTAAGGAATAAGTTCTGTCACTAATGAGAGAATAAGTTTTTATTTTTAGATATGTGGAAATAATGAAGAAAGAAATAGAATGGCAGATTTAAAAAAGTTGACTAACATGAAGTAACTATTATTTGACCATTTTTGAAGGTGCTGTAGTGAAAATTTTATTTGAAAACACGGCTAACAGACAAAACCTATCTCGAGAACACATAGCAAAATATTTATTTATTTTTTAGAGAGCTCTATCTATCTAATTCGACAGGCTGTCTAGACTGCAGGTGCAAAATACACAAAAATATAGAGTTCAGTTTTTACTTTATGTTCTTTTGTATGAATAACAGAATGCAGTTCGCTCCTACATTTCATTAACTCTAAAAGTCATAGATAAATTCGTCTCTTTTAAAATTGAGTTTCGTTTTATTTGAAAAAATTAGAGTGAGCGGCGCAGCAATTTAGCAGACCTTTTTTGTCTTCCAGCAGTATTTTCAGGTGACGAAACTGACATACATAGAGTTGAGACTTAGATAAAATATACCGGTAGAACTTATAAATTAATACCGAAATTTCTAGAGATTTCGTAGCACCTAACAATTATAGCTTATATGCAATATAAATATCCTTATATTTCGTATTTAGGGTAATTTCATTTTTTTGTTGAGGCTAGACACAAATACATCTGCCCTTGCATGGTCAGCCCATGTATGTGTTTGTATTTGTGCATAAGACCTTCTATAGGTATAAAGATATATAGACCATTACTATCCTTCACTGCCGTATATGACCTGCAGATTTCGTTTGCATCAACTAGTTGGACTAGAAAGTGTTTAAAAAGACTGTAATTCAAAAAATAAAATTCTGAGCAATAAATTGCATGAGCACAGTATCACACAGTATGATCAGTAGTTACACTTCAAACTACTGAGAACGTTAAACAACATGCAGTGCAATGCGCATCTAAAGAGAAAGCTAACTCGGATATCTCAGTTCACGCGGAACTAAACAATTCGCAACAACAATAACTAAGCAACTGAGAATGGATGCTCTCTCTTCGGACTGAAATAGTTTTGTACCGACTTCGAAATATTTCTCGTACTTTCTGCTTCTGGAAATTACTGGAAAGGAATACGAGAGTAGAATTACGGTTACAGCTAACATAGTGATCAATTACATACATTCAATTTCAATACAAACTACCGAGATACCCCTTTACTCAATATTAAATGCCCGTGCTCTTGTATTCTTACTTTTCCGACATAGCTTACTCTTAAAAATTTGTCTCACGTTACATTATACAGAAAACTGCAGCAATTTTAATTATAATTCTACTAAAATTTCCTATTTAAATACAAAATTTGTAACAATATGTACGGTTGAAAAACAATAGCCTTTTTAAAGAATATCTTAAATTTTACAAAAGGTTTAAAGAATGAAGACAACTTTTTGCTAAAACAAAATAATTCAATAAGGACCCAAAATTCCATTCCTAAGAGACGAATCACCTGTGTGGCCCGAAGCTTAGAAAAAATAATTCGCTACCTTCTCTTTCCCTGAATAGCAAATATTTCAAAATTTCAATCATAGCTTCAGTTTTGAACAAAGCTCCGTCTGAGAGCTCAGTCAAAGAACTTGAATAATATAGAACCCCTTCAAGGCATTCAGTTGTCGAAAACACCATATAGTATCTGAAGACATACGCATCGTGTATCCTGGTTCTCTAACAGCTAGGTGTTACACCAATCACTAAGTGGCAAAGAATGTGGCTTAAGATAAAAAGAACAGCAATGTAGAATATAAGTATTTTCTTATATTCTAATATGAAGGGGATATTAACATCCGAAACATGGATTATTTTAGCGGTTATTAATCTTTTATTTAAGAGTTGCAGAAACTATCGAAAATTTATGAAAAATACATAAAGTTCGTTGTATCTAGTGCCCATACATTTAGAAGTTATCTGTAGCCATTTAAAATAATTGTAAGTGCAAAGGGAACTGAATGAAACTAAAATGTTCGTTTGTTATATGCGAGAACTAGCTTATAAACGGAGTTCGCTATAGCGGGATTTTATTGTATTGTCACTTCCATATATTTTATTATGTTGTACTGTTTATAAAATTTAATTATACAATGCTTTTCATTTGAATTCTGCATACTTACAAGGTGATGGTTTACCTATAATTAATTTACACCTATACTCTTCTTATCAGCATCTATAGTATATTATACTCTGATTGTGTTCAATAACATCGTTTGACCTTTTTACGCCAGTTCTGAGCCAGGAGTTTTGTAGATAGATTGATTATTCATACAACAAATGCTAAAAATGCTTCGAGTGGAGTCACTATATATTTCGTGGCATGTTTCGACGTAAATTCGCATCTATGTAATGAATTTTTTATCCTTAAAACGTTGTGAAAACGCATTAATTAATATTTTTAGATAACGAGCTATAATTTTTAACGGCTTATAGTATTTTATCACCGAAAAAAACACAAAGATAGACAGAAATTAATTCGTTATAACAGTTTATTTTTACTATTCATTTTTGGGATAACGCTTTGCGAGACAAATTTATTTGGATCCGTATATGCTTCAAGATATCCCTTAATGCCTGCTTGGATGTTTTTGCATAATATGTCGTGCAGTTTACTTCGGAAATCCGTTCAAGATTTTAGAAAAAATATGTCTACGGAAACGCTAATTTACGTTAGTGTTAAGAAAAAACGTTTTTAAAATAAATCTTTTTTATAGGGTAAAAAAGGAATATAATTTTTTCAGATCCGGCTTTTTAAAATCTTTTTTCCTTGATTGTTTCAGAAAATGTCTTTTTTAAGATTTTACTAAAGACTCCAAAATCGATGCATAGCATGGTTCACTTTTATTCGGGAAAGATAAATTTAACAGCTTTTTATTCTAGTGTTAGGGATACTTACTTATTAGACTGTGTAGATAAATTTATGCATAGTTTGAATAGATTACCTTTTCTTAAAAAAATATATTGGTAACTAAACAGAGTTTCACATTGTTTCCAGACATAGAAAAATCTAAATGGAGAATTTATTTCAGGTTTTTTTCCAATTAAACAAGAAAAATTGCTTAATAAATGTAAAATATTCAATTAACGTAATCTATTTACTAAAAAAACTGTGTTATTTTTATTATTATTTTTACTTAAAAGTTTGAAGCTGGAAAACAATGTTCAATATTCATTTGAACAAGACTTCCTTTCATTCCGTAGATTTTTACTTCCTTGTACGAAGAAAAAAAGGAAGTATTGTAATCGTGAAAAGTTTCAGGCATCATATTTCAACGCAAATATTCATTTTCACCGCTA